TTTAAAACTGTGGCTATACCACATGTAAATATGGCTATTTTTTATTCCCCTTTAATTTACAGTGATCTTTAAGGTTATAATTACATAGTTTGACTTGTCTAATAAGTATTTGGTCAGTTTAGAACTTACTGTAATTTGAGTATAATTAAGAGAATACAATTACACTCTCCAATTTCGACGAGGGGCACAGAATGGATAGTAATTACAAGATATGTGATTACCAGATTAATTTTCAAACTTCTTTTTTCTTTTAATATTTCTTTTACACACATATATTTGTTATACATTAAAACTTATTTACATGTAATATGATAAATATATTATTTAATTTCTTACAGTTAGTTTTTGTTTAAAATAAAATACATATATTACACTAGTCAATCAAATATGACTCTGAAACTTATTCTATAATTACATTATGAAAAATAAATCGGTTATTATAAATCCAAATATTTATACAATCTAATAATTACACAATAATTTTCAAACTGGCCTGAATACAAAGTCAGCTCTTGTCACTCCAATATTTATTTAGCTTTCCCTAGCTATAAACTCTCAAAGCCCCATGCTACCCTTAAAAATTATGGAAAATATTCCAGGTAAGTGATGTGACAAGGTTGAGTGCCTATTAAGTTAATTATTATACATTTTCAACTATTGCTTAAACTCACCGGCGAAGCCACATGGTTACAAGGTGGTCAATTGATCACCCTTCATCAAAAAATTATATTGTGTATATAAGTAAAATATTACGTTTTAGAGGTATATAACATTTATTGAACACCCTTTGTCGCAATTTTTTTCATATCTTTCAAATTTGAATACCTTGGGAAAATTTCTTGTTTCGCCACGACTTAGAACTATGGTCGAAGGCTTTCTTTCTAGATAGTCATACGTAAAGCTAGGAGAATTCATAAAACTTAACTTTCATAATTAATTAGCGTAATAGTATTTTGCTTTTGATTTAATAAGACCACCTAATTCCTTGAGATTTAGGTGAGATGTTTGTTAATTATGAACAGAAATACATACAAAAGTAGGCATATTGCCTTATCTCTTAAATATCATACCTGAAAAGTAGACAAATTGATCACTTTTTTCTTTACAAAATTTAGTAGGCGTTTGGACATAAAATTGGTATAATTTTTTTTTATATAAAAAGTAGTATTTGAAGTTAAGTTGAAAAATTGTATTTGAAATTTAAAATTATGTTTGGATATGCATTTCACTTGAAAAAATATTGTAGTTTTGTGAGTGGAGAAAAATATTCGAATTTTTTTAAGAACTCATTTTTTAAATAAAAAACTCGAAAAACTTACAAATTTTTCATGGTCAAATATATTTTTGAAAAATAAATCGAAAAAATGGGTCCTTATACAGATTACAACATTACTCCAAGGTCAGATAAGCTACTTGGTTATTGTTTTTTTAGTCCATTATTTCTAGTAAAATCTGATATGTTTAATTAAAGAAAATGACTATCACTACTAGAAGTTCGGCAAAAATCGACCGCGATCGACTGAGCAATTTTGGTCGGTCAAAAGTCCGGCTAAAAAATCGACCAAAGTCGGTCGGTTTTTCAAAATATTTTAATTTTTAATTTCTTTTTATGAAACTGACCAACTTTGGTCGGTTTTCTTTGGCGTAAAAATGCGAAAAACTATTTTGAGTTCCCGCGACATTTATTTTTCAAGAAACCGACCAACTTTGGTTGGTTTTTTATTTAAAATAAATTAAAATTAATATTAAAAAAACAACCAAAATCGGTCGGTTAATTCGGCCGGTCATTTTAAAAAACCAACCAAATTCAGTCAATAATTTTATTTTTTAATAAAATCGATCGATATCGGTCAATTATTTTCATGCGGAAACATTTAAAGAGTATAAATAAAATAAAAGACAATCTTAAAACAAAATGCACCGATGGTCTAGTGGTAGAATAGTTTTTTGCCACAGTACAGACCCCAGTTCGATTCCCAGATGGTGTATTTTTTAATTACATAATTAAAATACCGACCAACTTCGATCGATTTTTTCGACAATTTTCTTGTTGAATTTAATTGACCGACCGAAGTTGTTTACTTGAAACTTCGGTTTTTTCTTCAAACCGAAAAGTATATTACGGCTAATGTTTGTAAAAATTTGGCTAGATTGGTAATGTTGGCGTTTTGTATAGTAATAATTTGCATGGTAGTCCTTTTGCCATCTAATGGCTTGTGTTTCGGCCAAGGATGTGGCTATTCTGGGAATGATGTAAAGCCACATTCAGTACTTAATGAAAATATATGATGTGTAAACTAGAAATATAGAAATTGTTACAACATAGAGCCAAAAAAAAAAAAATAACAAGAAGTTAAATAAAATTACTTGCAATTATCATTTAAGTGATTTGATTGTGTAATATTGTCGGTATGGTAAGCTCAAAATGTATATAATTTAAAAATAAAACGAGAAAAAGTGAAACTATTAAAGGAAGAAATATGTTCAATTATAATACTGCAATTGAGATATTGAATACCAATTTATGTAGTATCTTCTATTCTTGAAAGTTTTCCTATGCATCTTTTCACGTTAAGCCCGTGAAGTTTTGTTTTATGACTTCTAAAACTTTCCTTTTGCTTCTATTGACTAGAATTTCAATTAATTTATTTCCTAAAATCACGAAAAGATTACCAAAAAGTAAGATGGAAACAAATTAACAACTAATTGGTTAGATCAATTATATTATCGTCATCGATTTAATATTATGAATCATAAATTGGCATAATCTCCATTGATTAGAATGTCCAAACTTGATTTGGAAATTTTAAATTACCTTCTAAATTTTCTTTATTAAATATTTTAATATGATACCTATTTTTCTTTGGTAGCCTTTTAATTTAATTTCTATCATAACCTATTAATCCCAGCAGCCACAAATTACCTTACTAAAAAATGACCCTTTGGCGAATGATGACTAATCAATGATGTCAAAACCAAATCTGAATTTGAAAAGTAAATCAGTATAGGGCAAATAAAAATAACTTACATTTGTTTTAAATATTAAGGTGTATCTTGGTTCCTTTAGAACATTTTATATACAATTTTACATTTATTTTAAAAAGTATTGAAAAATAGTTATTTGGGAATTCAAAAATTCTTTTAACTATGATTATGTTTTTCATTTTTTTTAGAATACTGTTAACTATAACATTTGTGATTTATAATATTCCCTAAGATCCAAAAGAATGACGAGGTTCAGAGTACTATCTTCAATGCATTTTTGAATTAATTTAAATATCAATTTATTATTTTTTTTCTATGAAACTTATATATTTTAAAACTATGTAAGGTAGTATAAATAAAAATTGTTATAATTTTATTTAAAATATCCTAAACAAAGAAAATTATTTGACAATAAAACACAATGATATTAGTATAATTTTTTAACTCGTTGATTGCTTTATATACTTTTTCACATTGTAATTTTATTTTTGAAAATTCAAGGAACGGGTGTCTGAATTTATACTGGAAATTAAATTCATTAATCTTCATATTCTAAACATTGTCAGTTTCTTTTAGAACAGAGAAAAGTATTAATATTTCAAAAAAGAAGTTACTTTTTTTTTTTGGATGAATTAAAAAAGAAGTTACGAAAGTTAAGAAGGCAAAAGTAGGGGTGGATATTAGAAAATCAACCGAACCATACCGCACCGATTTTAGATTTCTTTTAAAGAAATCGTAGGTTTTTATATAAATCTATAACCGTACCGATAATTAGGGTAGGTTTTTTATTTTATAAAAATAAACCTAAAAAATACCGAACCGTACCGAATAAATTTTACATGTGAAAAATATATTCATATAGTAAGTTTAAAACTAATAAAGTATTAAATTTTTCATTGGGTCTTGGAATTATGAAAACTGTTACAAGCCAATAAATAATTAAACTCAAAATAATAATTTCTAAAACCTATTCTGCTACTTATACTTAACTAAGTTATTTCAAGTATCTTTATTAGCAAGACACAAAGTATTCTAACGATTATGAGCAGTAAATTACAATGTTTGAATATGTTTCCTTTTATATAATTTAGATTTATCTTTTAAAATATTTAATATTGACTTTATTCTTGAGTCCCAACTTGGTTAATATCTTTTCACTCGTGTGATTTATATTTTATTTGTTTTTACTTGGTTTCTTTTACGTTGGTGTCGAATAGTTGTGTACCTATACTCTAGCCATCTTTCATATTTTTTAATTAATTATCCTTTAAACAATAAAATGTCTAGAGAGTTTCGCTAAGTCCTATAAAAGAACGTATGTTATTACATTCTACTTTTACTGGTGAATTTTATGACATTTAAAAAATACCAAAAATTAACCGAACCGTACCGATACCGAAATGAAACCGACATGATTGGGATGGTTTCAAAAAGTCTAATTTTAGTTATACATAATAAAATAACCGAAAAATTGGTATGATACAAATTTTATAAAATAATCGGCCGGACCGAACCATTGACACCCTTAGGCAAAAGCAAAACAAAGGTAGAGGATATCCTATTATTTAGGCTTCACAAATGACCAAACTGACAAATCTTTGATTTCCCTCTAATAATTCTCCTAATTAAAAATAAATAAAAAAAAACAAAAAAAAAAAACTGACCATTTCTTTTTTCCTTTCTGTTGCTATCCATAATCCTAAAATACTGAATCCAAAAACACACACAAAACTCCTTCAATTCAAACCTCCAAATTAGGAATGGAATTAAATTTAACTGTAATTTCTAAATCATTCATTTATTTTGTTACAAAACTTCTGACCCGATAGTTTAGTCACAAAATCTGCATGTAAAAGGTTACCAGTTATAAATTTTCCCTTTAATGCTTCCCCTCCTTTACTTCCTGCAACTTTTCAGTTTTTCAGTTTCCATAATTTTGAATTAACAAAATTATTTCTATTACTATAAATACACAACAGAACAGAAGAAACAGACCCCACCATCTTCTGTTTTTTCTTCTTCTTATATTTATTTATTTATTCAATATATATAAGTCATAGGTTTGGCCTACCCTAACCAAGAAACATGTCACAAATTTTGTCATAGGTTTTGCCAACAGATTTTTATATAGAAATCCTCTCCTCTCCTCTCCTTTTGGAACAAATCAAGTTCTTATTTTGGTTTTGCACTTTTGTTCTTCCTGTTACAAATATGGCCATTCAAGCGCAGTTATATTCAGAAAATCTTGGGTTTCCTTTGGTAAGTTCACAGGATTTAATGGAGAATAATGTTTGCGGATTTAGCCACTTTTACTTTAATCCTCAACATCAACAACAACAACAACAGCAATTTCTACAAATTGAACAGCAGCAGCAGCAGTTTCAAATTCTGAACCAGAAATATAATCAGAATTTGATGAACTTTTACAATTCTAACCAAACAGTGGTGAGCCTAGCCTGCCAATTAGAGAAACAGAGGCTTGAGATTGATCAGTTCATCAATTTACAGGTTATTCTTGTATCTTTTACAATTTCTTCCTTCCATTTTACATGACACTCTGTTCTTTTTAGATTTTTTTTTTTAAAAAAAAGAAGAACTCAATTTTTTTTTCTACACCCATAGAAATGTTTTTAAGACCTCAAGTTGTAAGGATATTTTTGATAAGTAGCAAAAACAATTCTTTCCCTCTATTTTTAAATTCGTCTTCGGACATACGCTGCAGTATAAAATGCAACGAATAAGGCAGCCCGGTGCACTAGGGTCCGGGAAGGGACGGACCACAAGGGTCTATTGTACGCAATTCACAGTTCGAATCTGTGACCTCCTGGTCACATGGCAATAACTTTACCAGTTACGTCAAGGCATGTCCTTCGTAAAATACAACGAATAAGTTATTAAGATTTAATCAAGATTATTATTTTATAAAAATACATTTTTTATACATATTTATTATTATTTTAAAATACATTTTTCTAATCAAGATTACTATTAATGTAGTTGGTTTCGGCCAACCAACCAATTTTGTGTTTTGTCCAAATTTTAACAAGCGGAAAGTTTGCATTTTTATTTTTTTAATTTTTTATGAACGATATATGCAGCAACCTAACAATTTTTTAATTTTTTTTTTGATAAACAGAACGAGAGACTGAGATTAGCTTTACAGGAACAAAGAAAGCAACAACTAACATTAATATTGAGAAACTACGAAACAAAGGCTCAGTTTTTACTAAAACAAAAGGACGAAGAAATAGCAAAGGCAATGAACAAGTCAAAGGACCTACAAGATTTCTTAAAAAGAATAGAAATGGAGAATCAAACATGGCAAAGAATAGCCAAAGAAAACGAAGCCATTGTCCTATCTTTAAACAACACAATTGAACAACTAAGAGAAAGTGCACGTATTCTATCAACCAATGGAGGTGTAGGAGATGCAGAGTCTTGTTGTGATGTACGACCAATGGAGCATAACGTACAAGAGTCACAGCAACTCAGTCTTGAGACAGGAAATGAGGAACAACAAACGAGGAAAATGATGTGCAAAAGCTGCAATTGTAGGAAATCGTGTATTGTTTTCTTGCCTTGTAGGCATCTTTCTTCTTGCAAAAATTGTGACCCTTTTCTACATTCATGTCCTGTCTGTAGAATTGAGAAGAAAGCAAGTATTGAAGCTTTGATTTGATCTTCTCTTATGAAAATGACTAGTGTTTCATGTTTCCAAGAAAAAAAATGCAGTCACATTTCATCATAAGAGGGTAAATGAACATTGAGTTGGTAGAAAAGGGGTAGGGATTAGGGATGTTCTAAAAAATCCAAAAAATTCGAACCAACCGAAAATAAAACAAATCGACCAAAAAATTGATATTTTTTAGGTTTGATTTGGTTTTGGTTTTAAATTTTAAAAATCGATCAAATTTGGTTTGGTTTTGGTTTTAATCAAAAAATAATCGGAAAAAGCCGAATCAAACCGACTATAAAAGTAGCTATTTAAATTTATTTTTACACACACACATATATATATATATATATATATATATATATATATATGTATGTATACTTTTATATAAAGTTTCTAAAATTTTATAGTACACCTTAGTCACTTGAATTTTTAGTCTAGTTCTTTGCTATTATAATAATTTAGTTCTTTGTTTTTACATTCTAGTTTGATTGATAGTTTTCTTTTGCTAAATACAAGAATTTATTTCATGTAAAAATAATTGATTTTTAATTTAGTACTTAAATTATTCATCACTATTTGATTTAATTATTATCAATATATCTTGGTAAATGATAGATTTCTCAAAGAGCAATTGATCTGATAGTATTACATTGAAAATGTAGTCGCCGAAATATGTGTTTGGTAGTGTATTTCTCATATTTAAGAAAAAAATCGATAAATAGCCGAAAAAACCGAAAAGCCGACAAAAATCGAATTAATAAAAAATCGACTTAATTGGTTTGGTTTAGTTCCAATATTTGAAAAACCGACTTACTTGATTTGGTTTCTTTTTAAGGAAAAACCGACCCAAATCGAACCATAAACACGCCTAGTAGGGATGTTTGTTGGTCCGTACGATACCATATTTAGATATTTCGGTTCGATATTTTGGTATTAAGTTAATACATTAAAGGCGTGTTTGGTTAGGCAGAAAAGTCATTCTATATTTCATTGATTTCTTTGATAATCTTGTATTTTCTGTTCACTTACTATGGGATTCATCTATTTTTACTTGTTTTTTCTATAACAACAACAACACAATTCGGTGCAAAAGGAATTTCGTAGGAAGAGCCGCACGTCAAGGGTATTGTGTAGGGAGAGGGTGTTGTGTTGGTAGAATAGTCATTCTAAATTCATTTATTTCGTTTACAATCTTGTATTTTTTGCTCACTTATTAGGGGGATTCATCTACTTTTTGCATTTTGTTGTTTTTAATTTTTATAACCATCTAGCATTAGCATCTATTAACTCGATTAATTCAGATTCGAGACACATTAAAGAGGAGTTTCATTCCTAGACTCGAACCAAGCTCTAATTAAAGATGGTGTTGGCGGAATTTTTGGGAATTTTTTTAAATATGCCACTAAACTTAACAAAACAATTCACATGTGCCATTCGTAAGAGGACGTGATAAGGTTGGTATGTAAAGAGGGTTTCGATAATGTCACATATATGTCACGTCCTTAGTCTTAAACTAAGCGCACGTGCAGCACTTGGCAACTCGCTCACGATCTTGCACAGCTTCCTCACGTTCTTGCTATGCCAAGTCAGCCTTACTACACTCATGATCGCTAAGAGAATGTTAGAACACAAGAGAATTGCCAAAGGAAGCTTTTGTATTAGAGAGAACTTGATAGTTTAGCTTGGTTCATGAATTACGAATGAATGCCCCCTATTTATATTAATCACCTAGGGGCTAGTATGTAAATAATAATTGTTCTACAAGTCCTTCCGTATTTACAAATAAGTCCTTCTCTAGAATATTCTACATAGTTAGAATCTTCTAAGGACTTTCCTAACAATTCTATAGGGTTCTAAGGTCTTCCTAAGGAAACCTCTATATTTCTCTAGAACCTTCCTACAAGTGCATAAATATCTAGAACATTTCCAAGGAAATTATCCATAGTTCTAGAATATTCCACCAAGATCTAGTCCCTAACTTATGTAACCATTCCATATGGCAAAAATATATGCCAAGTGGCACCTACGTGGTATGATGATGTGGCGGGTCATTACACTCTCCCCCACCCAATTTTGTACCGCCCTCGGCACAAATTATCGACACATATGTGCGCACCTCGTCTTGGCGTCGCCAAAGATCTTTGTCTATTAGCCATGATGCCCTATGAAGAGGTTCTCCTTCCCATTTCACAAGGTACTGGCTACCTTTCTTCTCACGCCATTTGTACTTTGGACGGCTAGCAATGATGGCCTCCATACTCCGCCCATCGGATGCCCCTTCTTGCTCTTGACCTGAATCTTCCCATGACTCAACCAAGTCTAGCAGCTTCTCAAGCATCGAGTACGTGCTTCCATTCCCTATTTGGCTGCCCTCTATGGTCCAGCCTTACTGGCAAACTTGAACCCTCTGCTTGGTGCATTGTCTGAGTCCGATAGCATGCCATCACTTTGTAACTCTCCATCCTTTTCAACTATGCCCATCCAACTTTTCTTGCTGCCACCATGCTCCATTTGCATGGTACCAAGATAGGCTTTAGAATCCCTTACTTTCGGCTTAGATTCCAAACGCATCCCTCAAATACATGCGGTTCCCCCTGTGTCATCCTTATGTGCTTGAGAAAAGCTCCCTATCATTGTTGCAAGCTTCCCCAACTCTGAGCATTCACTTTCCAGATGTGATCCTTCACAGAAGTAGCACCCTCCCTTAGGCACGTACTCCCTACCATTTTCCGGCCCCTTGCCGTTTCTCTTGGACCCCTGTGCGTTATGGGATAGCCCCTTGCCATTACCCTTGTATAGCTCGGCTATGCATTTCCCGTGTCCTCATCATGATCTCCCTCATCCCTCTCGGCGTTGCCTTCTTTGGACTTGGCAGGCTCCATCTTGAAGTCAACAAGTGACTAGGATACTCCGATGGCCCCGTTCACGTTGGCTATTTGATGTCTTCTTAACTTATGCTTTGCCCAATTTTGCAACTCTTCCATGAAGTAGAAGAGGAAATCTTCCTCGGACAATGACGAGATTTGCAGCATTAAGGTAGTGAACTCGCGTACATACTCCCCAATTGTGGCCTCTGTCGGAGCTCCCTTAGCTTCCGCCAGTCTGCCACCTCACGTGCAGCCCGTGCACCACCATACTACTTTCACTTAGGGACCTCGCGTTGATCCCTTCTGCAAGTACCAAGCCCTTGGTAATTCCGGCCATGGTTCCCTACAAAACTTCCTTCTAGCAATCTCTTGTATTCTTTCTAACATTCCTTAGTCATAACCTTTGCTCTGATACCACGTTGTCACATCCTTAGTCTTAAACTAAGCGCACGTGCGGCACTTGGCAACTCGCTCACGATCTTGCACAGCTTGCTCACGTTCTTGCTATGCCAAGTCAGCCTTACTACACTCAAGATCGCTAAGAGAATATTAGAACACAAAAGAATTGCCAAAGAAAGCTTTTGTATTAGAAAGAACATGATAGTTTAGCTTGGTTCATGAATTACAGATGAATGCCCCCTATTTATACTAATCACCTAGGGGCTAGTATGTAAATAATAATATTCTACAAGTCCTTCCGTTTTTACAAATAAGTCTTTCTCTAGAATATTCTACATAGTTAGAATCTTCTAAGGACTTTCCTAACAATTCTATAGGGCTCTAGGGTCTTCCTAAGGAAACCTCTATATTTCTCTAGAACCTCCCTACAAGTGCATAACTATCTAGAACATTTCTAAGGAATTCTCCATAGTTCTAGAATATTCCACCAAGATCTAGTCCCTAACTTATGTAACCATTCTATATGGTAAAAATATATGCCAAGTGACACCTACGTGGCATGATGATGTGGCGGGTCATGACATATAGTCCAAATTCGTAACAGTGATTAGGGGTGTACAAACCAAACCGATAACCCGCATCAACCCGAAAACCCGAGTCAACCCGGGAAAAAAACCCGACTAGTGGTTTGGTTTGACTTGGTTTGGTATTGAAAAATAAAACCCGACCACAATAGGGTTGGTTTGGTATTAACTAAAAAAAGTCAAACCGAAACCAAACCAACCCGATATTATATGTATACATATTTTATATATTAGATAGATAAAAATATTTATAGAATGTAAGTTATAAATATTTCTTAATTTTTATTATAATTTATGTATATAGCATAATATTTTAAGTTGGTATTATAGCCCATGTAAATGTTTGTTTTTGTTTGGCCCATAAAAGAATAATTGAGCCCAAACCAAAACCTAATCCTAAAGCAGCAATACATTATCCTAAAGTTGTTTTGAAATACGTAAAGGTAAACAATTGAAATCATCTTTCCTCTTCTCCAAAGGCAAAAAACCTACGCTCTTCCTTTGCTCAATCCCTATCATTGGTAAAGCTCTTTTGCTCTCATTTTACAGGTTTTCTTTTAGCTGTATACATATACCTTGCTTTTCCCCAATTAACTAAGATTTTTCTTTTTCCGATTAGCAAGTTTCTTTTTGTAAATCTGTTGTATTCCTCCCTACTGTTGAATTCATTTGTTTATTTTGTTTCCCTTAGATGCTTAACATGAGTAATTGGTTGTTACTTAAAAAGATATTGAAACTTGTTTACTTATATTTTGAATCATTTGGTTAAATGATATGAACTGTGTAAAATTAAGAGAGATGTATTTCGTACATTGTTATGCGATTTTGTCTTATTTTGTTTCTCTTAAAAGATTTTTGGCAAATCTGGTGTATTCCTCCCTATTGTTGTATTTAGGACTATAGAAATATTTGGAGCACAAGTTTATCGGAACGAAAAATCCGAGAAACCCGAGAAAACCCGATATTGAAAAACCCGACTTTTGTTGGTTTGGTTTGATCTATAGATTTAAAAACCCGATACAATTAGTTTGATTTGGTAATTGCAAAATCTGAACCAACCCGACCTATGTACACCCCTAACTGTATATTTAAGATCAACTATTAATGAGCGACATATGTTTAATATTTCATTCGCTCCATTTTAATTGATTTTTTGAC